TATAAATCCGATAAGATCTTTTAACTCCTATATTGTATAAAATAACGTATGCAGATCATAAGTTTGGAAATACCAATGCAGATAAATTATATAACTCACACTGAAGCAAAAACAAAGATAAATTGTGATTTTGGTGTTATAAAATAATTATAGAATCTGAAGAATTATTGTTAAAAAATATGTTGTTATAGATTGCAATTGAATAATCTGAAAAATGACAACTGTTAAAAATGTTTTCACAGTTTTGGCCTGCACTGTATATGTATATACATTTTATATAAAATGACATATAGTACGTTACATACTTTTATTATAAATAGGGTCAGACACAATAGGCTGTAACGGCTTGTCCAAATCTCCTTCTAAGAAAACTTGGAAACATAATCTCACCGCGTTAAGATCTATTTGATTCAGGTGCCTTCTGTGTTCGAAACCAGCTGTAACAATTCAGATTTTCTCGTAACTGTGGCTTATTTAAGAAAATAGCCGAGTAGGACACTTTGACCAGCCTGAAAAATAAAGATTTTTTGTTTGGATTGCAGGAAAAGTATTAATACGATACACTTGTAATTTGGCTTTATTAATATATATTTAAACTTGTTATGTTTACAAATTGTATTGGAAAATATTTATCTCTTGAGGAAACACAACAATCCGCGTAAAACGTGCATTTTTAAACGGTGTACATGATTCCGCGATTTTGGTTATTCTAAAACAAAAAATCGAAATAGTTTCATAAATTAAAATGTACTCTCTATCGCGTGACCGAGCTTTACTTCATTTTTTTTTTTGAAAATTGATGGAAAGACAGATTTAAATTTTTGACACATTTTTTGACGTTATGAATGTTATTGTATTTTGGAAACTGAAAATGTTATCAATAAAATCATCGGTCACGCTATAGAGAGTACATTGTAATTTATGAAACTATTTCGATTTTTTGTTTTAGAATAATTAAAATGACGGAATCATGTACACTGTTTAAAAGTGCACGTTTTACGCGGATTTGTTGTATTTCCTCGAGTGATTAATATTTTTCAATAAAATTTGAAACATAACAAGTTTAATATATGTATTAATAAAATGCCAAATTACAAGTGGGTCGTATTTATACTTTTCCTGCAATCCAAGATCAAAAAGTCTTTATTTTTCAAGCTGATCAAAGTATTCTACCCCCTTAAATTAATAAAGAAATAAATACGAAAAAAGCACGCACATACTTCTAAAAGGATCTACTCGTAACTTCTGACGCACTCTGAGAGCCTCTTCGATGTCTTTCTTTTTCACACATTGAATGCCCAGATTCGAGAAGGTAACAGCTATATTTGATGACGGAATCATTACCGTACAAACACCCTGCTTGCACACCTCTTTGCCAACGAGATTGTGTGGATGCGGTCTGTATGGAGCGTCTTTTGTTACACAGGACACAACCACCATAGCGCGACCCTGGTAGCCCACGATCTATAGGAATATCATAAGCGTGTGTAAGAAACAAGAAGAAAGACTCAAAAAGCTTCATTCCGAACGATTGTAACTCACTCGTATACTAGGGACTGTTTTATTCTCCGGTGTACTGTTGACACC